TCCTTGACGGAGGACACGAGGGATAATAACAAAAATCTGTAACCAATTTACCTTTGTAAATAGGTTTTATATCTTGGGAGCGAATATTTTCTTATCAAATTTTGCCAAACGCTTGCTCGCGGGATCCCAGAAGTAATGCACAGAAAGCACTTCTCCCCTTCACAGGTAATATACAGTTTTAACGGTTGACATTATATTATTATTATTATTATTATTATTATTATTATTATTATTATTATTGTTGTAAATAATGAATAAAAGGAAGTTCTTGTGCCCAATGGAAATTGGATACCAGTAGCAGCGACGTCATATCAAGGAACTATATAAAAATATTGACAAAATTACTGACACGAAAAAAGTAGAATTACATTCTATGGACATCTTTACTGAGTACATTCGTTTAATTAACCAGAAGACTTTTAACTATTTCACAAAATTAAATATGACAAATACGTGGTTTAAAGAAGTTGAAAAGGCCGTGGAGGAGCTCAGAATTACACCTCCAGGTGTCTTCAAAGAGGACCAAACTTAAGAAATTCAGAGGATTTGAGGACGAACCAAAAATGAAGACATGCGCCATTTGGACAGATGAGAGGAAAGAGAAACATTGTACAAGAATGAACTGGTGGTGCTACATAACGGCACAGACTTTCCCGTATTAGTTTTCTATTTCCTTTTATCTCGGTTAGCTATCGAACATGCCACATATTCTTGCGTGCTACCATCTAACGCCACCCAAAGTGCAGTTTTTGACATTTTCTTAATTTTTCGGTTTCCTATTTGTAGAGCCGAAACATTATTTTAAGATTATTAAAGACAAGTAAAACCTCGTCCTAAATGGCAATTTTCTTTGAAAAATTCGGAGCTGTTTTTAAAAAACGGGCATTTATGTGCTACTGTTCATTCAAAATTTGAAACTCTTTTTCACAGAAATTTTTTGAGTTTTCGAAAAACATTGAAATGATTTTGAGTACTTTAACTCACAAATACAATAGTGGTTACGAATTGCTGAATATTCACTACACCTGCCCGTTGAATTTTTATACCAACGCTCCAAAGCATCAGAAAGGAAGTTGAATTTTTTATGTTATCGATATTTCTGAGGGTTTACTGAAAATTGGACCTTAGTGGTTAGGTGTACTTAGGCGTACTTAGTGGTTCTGTATTCGATCCAAAACGTAGAGCAAACATGATAGGCTCTTTAAGAAAAGTTTTTAATTGTCGCAATTTTATTCAAGTACATGAAAAAATTTCAAGTACGTGAAATGATTTTTTCAAAAAATGTATAAATTTGTTTTCGTTTCTTTCCAACTACATTATTGAAGTTTGAGGTTATTTTTCTCAATGATATTTATTCTTGAAAATTCGTTCTATAAATGATGCCATGCACATTTTGATAAAAAAATTCGTGTAGTTGTCGCGTAACTTCGAGTAAAGTGACTTAAAAAATTTACATCAGATTTTTTTCAAAATTGACAGATTGGTCTTTTCTTCTTTATGTTTTTTTTACTTTTATAGAGAAAATGTGCTTAAAAATGCGGTGCAAGCGAGATTTTAATTAAACCCTCTGTACATTCAAAAATTGCGAATTCTCGAAAATTTCGGAAAAAGTGCAAACTTGTCTTATAGGCTTTACCGTTGAAGCTGGTGATTTCTTTCTTATTATTCAGTAGATATATAAATAATTAGAGATTTTTGTAAATACTGCTAATGTGTAATTTTCAATGAAATGGTGATAATTTTCCACTAGTACGAAAAGTAGATTTTCTCAATAATATTGTTTTTCCCTTCTAACCTTTTGTGAAGATATAGCATAATACTTTCAATTCTATGGCGTACGTTCAATTTTCAATTAAAATTTTATAACTTAATAAATGTACAAATGTTGATTTTTTATGAATGCGTTTGAGTCGGGTTTTGTTCAGCGAGAAAGGTTGTAGATATCACCATGTCACAATCTCGTAAACGTATATGCTCGAGTCCATATACCAGCTCAGAGAGAATAACTTTCTCTGTACTGCGGTGGTGGTAGCGAGAAAGTAAAAATTAGAGCACTCGCGGAGGTATTGCGAAACCGCTGCAAATCAGCTCTCCTGCTCAGTGAACACATATTTATTTATGTACGTCAAATACAGTTAAAAACTGAAGAAAATGTGTTTGTGTCAGAGGGGCTTATTGGATGATATCAATCTCGACGTGCCACCTCCACCCCTGAGGGTGGGTGGAGGTAACTTGCGAATTTCAAAAGGGATTTTTTTTTTTTATATAGAGGATTCGGATTTTCCGCACAAAATACGTATATTTTGCTTGCAACTTTTTTTTCCAGTAGATAGTGCTGTAATTGTAGAAAATACAATTTTTCGCAATTCTGGAAAAATTGCACCAAGAGGTGAAAAAACATGGTGTTTTTAAGAATCTTATCTAGTACTGATAAGAGTGAGCACCCCCTACCTGTGATACAGTGTGTGTGTGTGTGTGTGTGTGGGGGGACTTTTAAATTTCAAATGGAACAAATTTCAAATTGCTATAACATCGGGGGTGCTTGTTTTAGGTGAGTCCCCTCGCCTCTCACCGTCCGGGTGCTTGATTTAAATACAAGTGCTAAAAAACGTGGCCACCCACTTCGATGCATTTAATTATCCGCACTTGGAAAGATTGAACACAACTAAGAAGTTTTGGGGGCGGAATCTTACGACGTGCAGCGGTGATTCTCTCAGTTATGTTCTCGGGTGTTGTTGGCAGTTGATCATAAACTTCACCCTTCAAGTGACACCCAAAAATAAAAATCAGGGGAGGTAAGATCTGGTGATCTGACAGGCCAAACTACTGTACCACCTCTTCCGATCCACCGTACATAAGACGCTATCGATTTCCGATAACGTCATCTCGCAATGTTTGTTCAATTTTTTATGTTTATAAACTTTACAAAAGTTTCAAAAACTTATTTTCGTTTTTTATTTTGGAATGTTTTAGCAAGAAGGTCTTGGAAGAGTTATCCCTTTTTTAGCCGTATTTCATTCCCTTTTGAATATTATTAACGATGTTATAGCAATTTGAAATTTGTTCGATTTGAAATTTAAAAGTTACCCCCCCCCCCCCGCTCTCTATCAGAGGTTGGGGGGTGCTCTTATCAATTGACAAGATTCTTAAAAACACATTGTGTTTTTCACCCCGTGGTGCAATTTCACCAGAATTGCGAAAAGTTGTATTTTCAACGATTATAGCGCCAGCTACTGGAAAACAAAAAAAAACGTTTCAAATAAAATCTACGTATTTTTTTGCGGAGAATCCGAATCCGCTATAAAAAAAGTAGGGGTTCACATTTGAAATTCGCAAGTTGCCCATCACCCACACCCAGGGGTGTAGGTGGCTGGTCGAGATTGGTATCATTCAATAGGCCCCTGTGAGACAAACAAATTTTATTCGAAACATTTCCTATTACGATTCTTAGTTTTCAAGATATTTAATTGTCTCAAGATAAAACAAAATCACCTGTATAATGAGCAATATAAAAATAAAGATGTGAAGACAGTAACTTACAAGGGTATTTTGAAAGAAAATAAATATTATATTTTTCTTAATTCACATTTATTTATAAATTAATTTATTAATTGTGATTTTTTATGAATTATTTGATCATTCACTATTTATTCTTAACTCAACAAATGTCAAACGGGGTAGTAATATCGGTTCTCACGAAAATTGCATAGAGACATAGATTGTACTTCTTCCCTATTCGTCACGTAAAGTTCCTTTTGTTACATTAAATAATAAGTTATATGCAGTGCATTCATGTATTGCTCTTTAGGCAATTTGAACTCAAATAGATGATTTGCGATCATGGAAATAAAGATTTCACGGGTAAAAATTGCACAACAGCATTTAACAAAAAAAATGGGATTCACTGCAGATCTCATAGTTATCTGCTATCACCTCTCGGCTTGTGGCACCTTCAAGCATTTCGTGTCATTGAATATGTCGAATGACACATTTCTAGTGTATGGACGCAGCCTCACCGGCCTCTTTCCTCATTTCTCGTCGCACATTTCTGGCAACACATCTCTCGGTCTAGTCTGTTTACGGCCTAAGAGTTCCTTGTCAGAACTGATAAGCTCGTAAATCACATTCTGAATCAGGACTGTTGGCAAACGTGCGTGCTCATGCGTGTGTTGTATGGTCAAGAGGTACCTCCCCCAACAAGCTCTGAAGTAAACAGTCGTTAGCATGGGACCACTGGGATATCCCGTCCTTTTACTGAAAGAGGAAGAGGAGGGCTGAAAGGAGGCGATGGTGAACCTTTGGGAGGGGGATACAGAAGCGCCAAGCGACAGTCAGAGATGACTGTCAGCGTCGCATCAACATCGTCCGAAACCTCGCATCTTGCAAATGGCACATGGCGAGAGATTAATGACCTCAATTACAGAATGGGAGCCGTCGAAGGGATATTTCTCGGCCTATCGCATCCACGGAGGTGACTGACACTCCCCGGAAAGCGCATAAAAAAACGAAAGGTGCAGACGGAACAGAGAGATATATTTGAACAATTTTTAACGAACTTTTTAAACGACCCGAATGACTTCGGGATGCGAAACATCACGCGCATCCATTGAGCCGAGGCCACTGCTGCAAAGACTACGAGGAAGAGTGTGCTGTTGTATTACCACTAGTTTTCAGTTGTGTAAAATATTTTTATTAACTGCCAAAGACAGTAAAATATGTTACATGTGCGGGAGAATTGTAATCTGTGTATGTTTAGTTGAGATCCGGGATTCTTAATGAAGTGTAAATTCTGATTGTCAAATAACGCGTTTAAACTAATCTAATATAACTGGTACGTAAGTGTACTTGATTCCAAGAATTACGGGTTTAACAACTCACCTCCCCGCTTCAGTTGCAGATCATGACCCTTAAGGGATCTAATAGGCTTAAGTAAAATAAATATTTGGATAATTCACTGTAAATAAGGCATTTTTAAAAAATATGATTTTTTGTTGTTGTAGGAGAAAAGTGTGATGCGGCCGAGCTTGGACGTTTGCTGCAATTAATTTTAGGATGTGCAATCAATTGCAATCACAAACAGGGTAAGTCAATTTTATGTTGAACGTTTTGCTAGATGAAGAGAAAGATATTCTCTTCATAAGTATAGGTGTTCATTCACTTCATAGGTATCATTCAGTATAGGTGTTCCCAAACTGGTTAAATAGGTTGTTTGTAAGGAATAAAGTGATTTAGTGTGTAAGATTAATTCAAACATTTGGTTTCACGAAATGAAATTGTCCATCTTTCGAATTGCCTGTCATTTTCTTAATTTACTATTTTGTTTTTTCAATCTCTCGCATATTGCTTACTAATATAGAAAACGTATTGTAATGTTGCAACAAAAATGACGATTTTGTTGAGAAAAACTCGTTTTGTGGATCCCTGACATCGTAAAACGCGGCCATTTAAATTGGCAACGGATTATGGGTTGTTTTTTTAGATGATATATCAAGGAGATTTTCACCATTTCAAAAATGGCTCAAAATTTGTCGTAGCATTTTGTTTCAAATGGACTAAGTACACTTATAGAAATTCGCCTTCCTATCACTACTACAGTGAAGATAGTTTTTTCAAAATTATTAAATCAGTTCTTCTAAATTTGATTTTTGAATGTGGTAATGTGCAATTGTTTTAAAAATGTTGGTGTTTTCGCCTAATTCTTCGTGAAATAAAAGTAAATTTAAAATTAAGATTTTCTCAAAACATTCTCAATTTTTTCTTTATTATTTCTTATATAGTGCGAAGTATGCTAATAAGAATGGCACATATCCAAGTTTTGTTGAAATATCTGAATTTACGAAAAGTGCAAAAGTTACAAATAACGCGATAAAGTTGTTGACACAACGCTGTTGTAGCACAACTGGACTTCTGTCTTTCCGTCGGTCTGTCTGTCTTTTTCGGTGTGTATATTTTTGTCCCTCCGTCTCTCCTCCCATCCCTCTGTCTCCATATTTTCGTTTGTTTTCCGTCTGCGTGTTTGTTCTCGTCCATGTTCAACTCAAGACGAAAATCTTCCAGACTATTTTTTTCAAAATTGACGTTTCTCAATTGAACTGGCCGATCATGAACTTGCGTTTTCTTATATTGAGGATAGAGATTGTTTTCCTTAATGAAATATTTTCTAAGAAATTCTTTCTTAAAATAATGGCATGATTTTTTTTAATAAATACCAGTAGTTAGTGTATTAATTTTGCTTGAAGTAAATGGAATTTATAAAAAAAACCTCAAAAGGTTCCACAATATTTCTTCAATATTTTTGTTCGAATAGAGCAAAGAATGTCTATGTAGAATAGAATGCGCTGGTGTAATTTTAATTTAACTCTTCGAATTTTGCGAAAATTGCGAAAGTTACAAATATTGTTTGAAAGTACTATTATACCACAACTAGATAGTTACATAATCAGTTTTAGATTATTATTATTATTATTATTATTATTATTATTATTATTATTATTATTACTTTGTTTATTCTCAAAGTT